AAAACACTCGTTGGTGGCCAGATTAAGCCACTTGCTGTAGCACACTTGTCCCTGGGTAGAAGGAAACAGAGTTAAGACCAGGCCATAAAATGGATTTGATGGAATTATGGATGTGTCCTTTTTCAATTTTTTTCTCAGTCAATCCTAAAATTTTAATTTATAACTAGAACACTATTTAAATTGGTAAAAGAACTCTTTTCTTCAAGTGGGTTGGTCTATTTGTCTTGCACAAGGCACTGGAATATTCTTTTTGGAGGGGTCAAATGCTGCAAAATGGAACTTTCATTGGAGTTGAATTGCAGTTTGTTTTGCCTACACTTGGGGTTGTTCTTTTCTTGCCCCAGGTAAAAATTTCCCTTTTGTCAGGCAGCCAGTGTGAGATGATGCAGATTTTGATCTTTGTGGAACTTTGCATTGGAGTCTTTGTGTGAGGCTAGAATTTATAATAGAAGACATACCGTTGCAATGGGAAGAAGTACCTTGCTTGAGGTGTAGTAAGGAGGGGTTACTATTATGGGACCATGTTGTTTATTCATTTCTTACTTTTGTCTGTTTAGGAAGTTTCAGTCTTCCAGTCAGGGCGAAGAGATACAGACATGTAAGACAAATACAACTTCAGTGTAGCACATTGAGAGTAGCAAATTACTGCTTTGAAAACATCTCAGATTCTACACTGTGTGAAAACTCTTCCTCATAGCCATTTTACAAGCATACATGGAGTTGGGCATGCAAATATGTTCTGATTTCCACTGGTCAATGAAAGGAGAGAAATTTACACAACGCTATTTTCCATTAATATTTCAGGCTTGTCTATACCAACTAATGTTTGTTCCAGCAGCCTGTGATGCCACAAACATGAGCCAGTTTGCTCTGTGTGGTGGTTTATTTCCTTGAAGTTTTTGTACGTACATCTTTGATCCAGCTTCAGTTCTCTGGTCCTCTTCAGGAGAACATCTGAGCTGGAGCACAGACTTTAGCTATTGGACAGTCACTATTATCCAAGAAAAATTCTGCTTTCTTACAAAGATTTCCCCTTATGCCCTATGCTTTTTGGAAGCATAAAGCTTCTAAGGACAGGGAAAATATCTTAGAGTCACTCTATCAGCAGTTTCTGTTTGTTCAGTTGTAAACTGATTTTGCAGCAGTGGAGAAGAGAAATAACCTCGTGGAAAGCATTGTTGCCAGTGGGTTATCTTACCTGCATCCTTTGTGATATGGAACAAGTCTTTGTCTTCATTTACCTTAATGGGCTGAAGTTCACCCTCATCCCTTATTCCCAGCATTGCCAGATGGGAAACTTTTTTAGTTGTTTATAAATAAACTGCTTGTCTGGTGGTATCTGGCTGGCTGGCTGATCCAGATGTTTTGCAAGCTTCCCCATAAAGTGGAGTTTATCTTGCTTTAGGAAAAAAAAATGGATAAATTATTCCTTTTTGCAGAAAGCAAAACAGTTGCTAACCTGTCTTCATGGCAACGTCACATAGCTCCATCCAGGAAGATGTTTCCCTGTTGATAATTATCTTTTATGTGTTGTGTGGTTTTCCCTTTAAAAACAAACAAACAAACAAAAAAAACCCAACCAAAACCCAAACAAACAAAAAAACCCAAACCAAAACCTGAACCAAAATGGTCTGATATTTTTTTCTCTTATTTTTACTTAATTGGTCCTCCCAATCTGTTGTATATCTTTTGTGAAAAAAGGAAGAATATTTCATGTGATGGAATGGCCTTTGCTAAATATGGTGTTAAATTTAGTATAGGTACTAAATATACTGATGCCTTCCACTGAAAGCCTGTGAATCTCCTGATGGGAACAGACATTTCCCAACTCTGGCCACAATAAGATGTCTGTTACTTGTAACACTTCGGTCCTCTCCTCCATCAGGTCAATTCAAAATCAATTATATGAATCTAAGGTAAAACGTAACAGGCAAGCTGCAGATAAATGTGAAATGAGCATGCAGGATTGCCAGCTTTGGTTGTTTTGCACTTCCCATGATTGACCAAGGATTCACCTGGTCATAAAGGAAAGTCTCAAAGGAAAGCAGAAGGGAGCCATTTTGGGGTCCCCAGCTTTGTTAACTGCAAAGTTAACAGATGTGGTGCCCTCCACGGACAATCAAACCAGTGAAATTTGTGCAGATTGGTTTTGCCTTTGGTTCAGAGGAGTTTGAATTTAGTTGGAACATTAATACATTCAGTAGCTGAATCTCATGGGGTAAAAGCATGTGTTGTAAGTCTTGGAGGATGCAAGCCCTGCCTGGGTAGCTGTGAGCCTAAAGCCTCAAAGCATGTCCCCAGGTCTCACCTGGCATCACTGATTTGTGCCCAGTGCAGCAACGTGGTTCCAACAAACTGTTGACCAAGGACTAAACTTGTAATTTCCAAGAGGGACTTTCCAAGTTCCCAGTACAGTAACTATTTTTGGGTGGATTTCTGCTGTTCTCACTCATTTGCAGCGTTGAAAGTTGTCTCTCCTACTTTTCAGATGACCTTTATAAAAAGCACCAAGTTTCATACGGTATGGGACAGGAAGGAAATTCCACAAAAACCTCAGAAACTCTCCAAAACCAAGAAGATTGTTTCCTGCTCAGCACTAATTAGGCTAAAGAATGGTAATAGTGGTGATTTCAAATTAATTTCTGTGCATACTCATGTAAGTTGGAATCTATTTCCTGCCAACACTTCTGGTAAGATTTCAGAACTTGCATCTTTAGAGAGAAAAAACATGTCCAAAAAATATTGTTTTAAGTGTTCAGATGTACAATTGTAACAGTCTTTCTGCATTATTTGCCCTTAATGAAACCAAACTGTTCATTGGCACTGTTTCCAGGCAACTACCAAGGAATGCTTAACCTTCACCGGGGTCTCACAAACCACGTATTATGCCAGGTAAAGGATGTCTTTGCAATGAAACAAGCTCAAGAGATCACGTAGAAATTGTTTATTTAATCTTATTTCTAATTAGCATTTTGTCTGATTTTCTAGGCAATTATTTTTCTGTCAAAGTCTTGCTTTCCTTAACTAGTAGAATCAAGTAAAACATTATATTTTTCACATTCTGCTTATAATATTTAATAAGCCAAGAAGTACTCTAGGATACAGTGGTTACTGTGGGGTCATTTGGAAAGAATTTGACATTGTGAGAGTGTTGCCTCATAATGAAAATGGGAAGAGCCAGTAAGCAAAGTATGATGGACAATTTTAGAGGCTTCCATAGAGACTGGAACCTTGTTATGCATCATGCGTACTGCAAATGCCCATCTGTCTTAACATACTACAGCCTGAATAAATAAGATATTGATGCAGAAATGGGGGTACAGTAATGAGTGATGCAACTTACTACAGGCTATGCTCATCCCAAGTCCCAAGCAGCATCTTGTGGACTGAGAGAGGCTTCAAAAATTAACCCAGTCTGGCAGTGACTGAAATGACTTTTTACTTACTTAACAAAAAAGCATATATGTGGTATTGAATGTTACTGCGCTTCATGTTTGGCAGCATCTTAAATCAATTTTGTGGTTATATTAGAATTTCATCATCAACATGTTTTCTATCTATGCTTCTAAATGGTTCTTGATGACTAAATTGGCAAATAACTTGGACCTTTCTTTGACAATTCTCTAAAGTTTACATTTTCACATCACAACACTGTTCACTTTGAAATCTCTTATTACCTCATATAAAGGTTTGATAAAGCAATAAAATATCATTCAGTGAACAAACCCTACCTGATTTTTTAAACCACAGTTTGAGGATGGCTCACCCAACTCTGCCCAGGGTGCTTTGAACCTTGATGCAAACCCCCTGGGGAGTCAGGGAAGAGGTAAATGCACTGGCTTTCACCAGTGGCAGGTAACACTTCACTGAGCCAAAAAGGTGCCATTTCTCTTGGTGGGTACTTGGTTTGAAAGCAGGGCACACAGGAATGGGAAGCTTTGTAGAGTGTGGCCACAGCATCTCTTCTTATGCCAGTGGATCACAAAGTTAAAGATTTAGTGAAATACCTTTCAGTGTGATCAAAGTGAGCCTGAATGAGCCCCTGAATTTTCATGTTGGTAGTGGGAATGTGGATGGCTTTCTCATGCAAGGTGGCACCCTTTCTGTCTGCCAGGGATCATCTGGTCCCCAAAACCCTGGATGAGGTCAGCCATCAAGCCATTGTAGCTTGGACTAGCACCTGTTTACCTGAAATAACTGTTGGGGTTGTCTTCTCTTTTGCTGTCGTAAGGACTGGCTGCTCTGGGAAGGCAAGCAGGGTAACTGGTGGGGTATTTATTATTCCAAAGTGGAAATCGCCAGCAAGAGCTCCAGTGTGTTTTCTTACCCAGTTCCCTCATCCTCCAGGAGACATGGAGCAAAAATAGATAAAGGTTCAAGAGAAGATATTCTTGTTGACAGTCATGATTAAATTATACTCATTGACATGTTTTTCTAACAAGAGAAAATTTTCTGATAGCAACAAGTTCCCCAAAACCTGAAGCCAGAGCAGCCGTGTTCTCTTAATCTCTGCAGAGATGGGCTTTGCTGTCTTATCTATGCCAATACACAGATATGATGTCTTTTTTCTTCTAGCAAAAGAAATTCATGTAAGGCATGCACAGTGTAGTATAAAGTGAGAAAGAGATTTGTCATTTTTTGACAATAATTCACTTAGACTCCAAAACAAATGTACTTCTGAGCAGTGACTCCGTGAACAATAAAGCAAACACTCTCGACTACCTACCAGCTCATCCATCTTTTTAAATCATGTCAGCAGACTTCAGATTGTTCACCAAGTTTTATTGTTTCATGGAGAAGGAAATAATTTGTGGTGAAATACACTGAGCCATTGAACTTTGCAATTGTTTATTACTTGGTCTTGATTTCTGGCACATTGCTGCTTCATCATTTACCTGTCATTTGTTTTGGATGACGTGGTTTATCCTCTCTTCATAGCTATCTAGATTGCATAGGTAAATTTTTAAGTTAAACTGCTTAGCCTTTCTGCTTGTAATAGCATCCACCTACTGTCTGTAAAATTTGCAGTAGTAATGTGTGTGTGATTTTGTTGTAGGCCAGGTGTGAATTCTTCCTTCTATCAAGAAAAAATATGTTTATGCAGCCTGGTATGAAGCTTTCTGGCAAGGAGATGAGTCAGGCTTTGTTTGAACTGGAAGGCTGGTGAACAGATCTTTTAGAAAGTGAAAAGGTATGGACAACGTAACAGAGGGATACAAAGCAGTTGACATGGCAGGTAAAGCAGGCTCTCTGCCATAAACAACATCTTATGGTCTAAGAACAACTCAGATATGGGTCACTTTTGTGACATGAGGGAGAGAGAGGTGACTGCATCTGAGCTAAGTCTGATGTTATTTCTCCTGTTTTGTTATTGCTGTTATAAATGAGTGCCCTAATTAGAACCGAGGGAATTTATGGGCAGATATGAAAATGTGGTTACTATAGTTACCAGGTGCTCCAGCTAAGTTGAGAAATGTCGCTAATATAATGATAGCCCAAGGGTAAACACATGAGGTAAGTGATGAACAAGCCCCTCTGCTCGAGGAGAAAATCTTTTTCTTCACACTTTGCTTGGTGGCTTGTTCAGCAAACTAACATCTACCACTACAATTAATTTTCTGTCCTTCCCTTTCTTTCAGTGGTTTGGTTTTGGTTAGGCTATAAGGAGCTCTGAGGTAAAGAAAGTACAAAAATGAAGTAGCATTTAAAGCAAGGATAAAGATCTATTTGCCTGTCTTTCAAAGCACTCTAATAAAATCCCTCCATACTCCTCTGTACGTAGGCTGGACAGCAAGGACATCTATGCATATTTCCACAAGTTCAGAAATAGAACTTTTCTTGTGTGTGTATTTTTTCTCTCCTGACCCTAATTCCAGCAGTGACCCTTGATGCTCATCTCAGTCTGTAGACAGGAAAGGAGAATGAGCAAGGATGCTGTCGGCTCTCCCCTCGTATCCCTCGGCTGTGATGGGGGACACCTCAATGCCTGGCTGCTTCAGTCCAACTGCTAACATTAGCTGCCAGATGTGGAAGGATTCAATGAGAAAAATGGCATTTCAGAGGGATCAGGCCCCACAGATGTGGTTGGAGTTGCCATTTGCTTGGTGCTGCCTACAAACAGGATCTACATAGGTTATTCCATTTGTTACAGGGAAAGGAAGAATTGTGAAGTCAGATTAATTCCTGCTGCAATTTCTCTGATGTCAATGAGGTGACACTACCGATTGCTTTGACATAGATTTTTTCAGTCCTGAGTAATTACCTGGCCTTTTAGAAAAAATACAGGAGTAGACAGAAAATCAGAACAGCTGCTGCTAAGGGAGCTGATCCCCACCACCTTAAACAGTGCTGACCGTGAGTTGCTCTCTGGTTTTGGAGGAGGCATGCAAGAGGAGAAAGAAGCTTGAAGCATCTATATCCTGCTCAACTAGAGATAAACTTCAACTATACTTAGCAGTATTCAGCATGTTGCTTCCTGCTACTTATTGATGGAGACTGTGAGATTGTTGCTCTGTGATGCCTCATGTGAGTGTAGGGCTGGACTCTGGTGGGGTATAGAAAAGCAGAGCTGCAGCTGCAGCAGTGAGAAGGTCAGTGTTAGCACAGTCAGTGGCCATGCAAGCTCCAGCTCCTCTTTGGGATCATTTCAGGCTGATGAACACCAGAAAGCATTGCCTATCCAATTTACTCTGAAACCTTATTGAGGTGCTTTAATCAGATGCGATAACCTCTGTCTCAAGCCTTAGAGAGAGGCAGGAGCTCCAGAGCAGTTTGTCTCTCCTAAGGTCTGCAGCCTGGTATATCTGCCTCTCCCTGGCAAAAGATGCAAATGAGCTTTAAATGCGATTGCTTCAGCTAGGGTCTTAGTCACAGTCATCACTGCCTTGATGAACTTGGTCACCCTGAATGGCTTAAATTATTTTGGATGATGGTTTTGCTTCATTAGCAAGAAGGTGACACACCACCTCTGTCACAAGTCTTCCTGCAAGAGGAGCAGATGTGCTGAAGTGCAAAGTCTGGGCTTCAACATTAGTGTTGCTTTACAAAATGAAGCAAAGTGCACATGAAAAGGCATCTGATTAGGCAGTGCCTCATTTCTGCAAACACTTTCTTTTCTACCCAGAGCTTTTTGGAGTGCTGTGCCAGTGCCAAATGTAGTTGAATTAGGTTCTCAGTGGAAGTAGCCAGGCAGAAACTGCACATGGATCTATGTTTGCACATAGGCTGCTGCTTTGATACAGGCTGTGGGCATCACTGTGGCTGCACAGGGCTCATCTGCTGTAGCCTGCCCTCCTGTACAGAGGAATACCAAGCTCATTCTCTCTGAAGATGGTCCTTCAGTAAACATCCTGGGGTGTGAGTGGCAACCTCATGGTCTATTGCTATAATCTGACTGCTGTTCGTTGTCATTTGCAGTGAGGCACAGGTTGCCCACTGCAGCTTGTCTTTCCTGCAGTGGGCCTACCACAGCTTGCAAAAATGGAAGAAATAGAAAATATTTAGAAAAAAGACTTTAAAAATTACTGGAAAGGGAGGGAAGGAGCAAACAGCTGAGATATAAACTAGTGATGGGGATGAGGTTGTTTATACTTTTCCTATGATACAAGAGATACCAGTGAAGTTAAAAAGCCTCAAAGATGCCTGCTGTTGCAGTATTACTTAGACCACTGGTCTGATCTAGTATAGCATGTTTCCTTCTCTTTGATTTTAGAAGCTGACGAAAGTTTCAGTGCCCTGGGAGTTTGGGTTTGTCAGAGTGGTATTGCTGGGCTGGGCAGTCATAGCCTACATGGGGCACAGAGAAACAGGGACCATTAAATCAGATGTTTCCCTAGTCAGTGAAAGGGCTCCAGGCAGTAAGCAAAACACAGACTTTTTATGCTTCAGATGGATTTTAGGATTTGTCTTCTCTGGACCTGATTTTTGTTTGATCTCTGTCTGGCTTAAGAAACAGCGTGAGAATCCCATCCTACCCACTTCTCTGTCTGTCTCTTCTGTGGACTCCCTACCCTGTTGCTGTAGTAAAGTACTTCACAGCTTATATGTACATTTTAATTTTTGGTCAGATTTAAAAATATTCTATTTTCCCCTAAACCCAGAGTAACAGAAATTTGAGTCTAGTTGTTTAGTTTGGGTTTTGATTTTTGCAGATTTTAAAATGGACACTGAATAGTTAATTTTACCAAAAAATGTTACTTCAATCTGAAAAAAAACCCCCACCCAAACAACAAACCAACAGCATTTTCTTTTGCAAAATCTTGACATTGACTCTTTTGAACTTCTTAAAATCTTGAATTGATTGCTTGAATTGCTGAATGAATTCAGCAGGATTGACACATGTATTTTGTGGGAGGAATAGTAATCAGGGGGGAAATTCTTTAAAAATGTTCAAATAGAGAAATCATACTTGGCTGCAGGAATTCTTAGTGATCTGTACCCTTGTGACAGCACTGGAGAAATCCCATCTTCCTTACCTCATTAAGACCAAGGACAACTGATGTGTGCTGAATTTCCGGGGGGGGGGGGAAAAGTGAAACCTGGTGCCTCACAGCTCCCTTTCTTTGCTAAGCTGATTACATAGATTTCCCCCCTTCATAATTTAGTACTGTGTTAAAGATATTCTGATCACAATGCTGTTTTGTTGTTTTGGTTTTTTTTTTCTGCAAGAATACAGCACTCAGCCTTTGCCTGGTGGTAAGTTTCTCCCTAACTGCCTAGGCTAGTTCCACTGTTTGAATTTTGGTTTGGGCAGGTGGCATGAACCAATTTTTTGTGCTTTGGGGTTTTAGCAAGGCCCAGCTGCCAGACTGTGGGTGAGCTGTGAAAATACTCTTCTGTAGAGCTTGGCTATCTATCTTGGCCACATATTTAATGCCAAAAAGGTCCAGGAGCATCTAGCTCTCGTGTGGTCTATCAGCCTTGAAATAGTGCTGTGGCTCAGACTGCAGAGACAACAGAAGTGCTTTTTTCTGTACAGTTCCTATATATTTTGCTCTTGTAGAATTTTTTTGGAAGTGCAGTTTATGTGGCAGCCTGAGCCAGCAGTCTGTCTGTCTATTTTCCTTCTTTGGAAAACAAAACCAAGAACCCTTCAGTCCTTTAGGACACAGGAAAATGGTTTTTGCTCTGATAGCTGAACTGATAGTATAATACTGTAGACAAGGATTTCTATTAGAAGTCAGTAAGGCAGATTCGCAGCCTGCCAAGTCTTCTGGGTTAGCATGGAGTACAGGCTGACAAACCTGATCACTAAGATTGGATAAGTATGTACCTCATTTTCACACCTCATGCTAGCACTAGGATAAACAAGCCTGGTTTTGAAAAACAATAAAGCTAGCTGGGAAACAATCTCCCAGCTCTGAAAATGTTCAGGATGTCAACACTTTGTCTCTTGTTCTCAGCCAGAGCTAAGGATACTGCAAAATACTCCTTTGCATCTCCTTACATCTGCTTTTTCTCATGTGGTGCGGGCCACATGGATTCTTCAGCTGGAAGATGGAGTTGCTATGAGTATTATTTTCAAAATCAAGCCAGTTCATGCTGTAGATATACTTAAAGATCAGTGATTTTGAAAACCACTGTTAGTCAGGGATCTGGTTGAACACACAGAATGGCTGGATCCAGCCAGAGTTGTGCAGGGCTCCTGTAGGCATGGTAAGGACCTTGTGCACCAAACTATCAGTTGTCTTTCTTGCCTTTCTTCTGAATGTTTCTTGAAGAAATGAGCTCAGGCAAACTGAACTGTCATTTTCTTCAGTCTCCCTTCTTTAATATTTAACTTCTGAGTTCTTTTGCCACTTTTAACCAAATTTAATAAGGGTGCACAGAAGTAATTCAGCTCCTATGAGAAAGGTGCTCAGACATCAAGTGAGGTCCAGTATCTCTCCCACTGCCCAAAATGACACCACTGATTTCAGTGAAGCAACATTGTACAGCAACATCCTGACAGTAACAAAACTTACATCTTATCAGCAAAGCTGGTCAATGGGGTGGAACTATGCGGGAATGCAGATTTTCAGTGACGTTACTTCTCATCAAATGACTCACTTTCAGAAGAGATAATTAAAAATAAGAAAAAACATCTTACATAATAGTATATGTCATCTGTGACAATACAATAACTGAGGTAATACACTCAAGTGAACTATGAAACCAGGTATTCACTTAGGGATGCATCATAGAATTTCTTTTAAAATAGACTTTTTTTTAAAAGTCAAATGCTGTTTTATAGCCAAC